ATAATGGATCACCAGAATCTACTACTATTGAGTATACTATATTGCATTTACATAATTATATATTATATTAATATAACATAATGCTAAATTGTTATTTGCTAATATAGTATGCGATCTACCTTGTCCGAACGATTTATACCTACTATATTATACAAAATACTCATTATACTAAATTTGTAAATATTTATTTTACATAGTCGACAAAAAAGGATTATTTTCATTGATAAATTTTAAAATAATTTTGTATTTCTTTTTTTATGAAGTTAAATAAAAATAATAATGTATAATATAATATTATATTACATATATAACATATTAGGTAGTAGGTACAAATTAGACCATATACATTATACGACATACCTACCATATTATATTAGAGACGTGTCGGTAGAATCGGTAGATCGCATACTTACCGCATATAAGCACCTATAACGTAATATAATATGTATATTGTATACTCGTATATTATTAAATTTTTCTACTAATTAAATATTTAATCATAGGTAATATATTATTATTATTTTTAGTGACCATATTATGTTAACATGTAATAGTAGTAATACAAATACAAATAGTGAATCAAATTTTAACTGGAGTTCTACAGTGTTTAGGTGCGAAAATTTATAATAATACACATAAATATTCTTTTTTAAATAAATAATTGATTTTAATGAGCTTAAAATATGATAATAATAAAATTAATTTAGAAAAAAAAATTTTGACCCATCTCTTTAATATAATAATATTGGTATTTTCTTAAATATTTTATAAGAATAAACGTATTATTTAGTGAACAAGAAACAGAAGTTATCGACCAAAAGTTACAATTAGTTCATGAATTATTTACATTGGAAGTGGAAACTTCAAAGTACCTACCTACCTCTATAAAATATAGTTAATTAATTTTTTTTTTAATAACACAATATCCTGTATATTTATGTAGATTACCGATTGGTCGTCGAATAGTAAATATAATGTATGTATTTGAACAAATATTAAATAACAAATGTCAAATGCATATTCAAGGGATGGGATGTTCAATTATTGATTCAAAATTTGTAAAAGAAATACGTAAAGGATTTAATTGCTCATGGATATTTCATTGCGAAATGTGTAATATTGAAACAACGATACATTCTGATATGATTGATGATCAAAATACAATTTCAATAAATAAAGCTGTCACTAGTGCATCTTTGGCGGTTGGAATTGGTTATAGTAAAATTCAAGAATTTACAGCATGTATTGATATTCCGTGTATGAGCGAAAAATCTTTCATAAAAAGTTCAAATGATATAGCTAAAATTATAGAAGAAAGTGCATGGGAAGAGATGAGACTAGCTGGTTTACAAGAAAAACAATTAGCATTAGATCGGGGTGATGTTGATACAGACGGAATACCTATGTGTCCTGTAGTGGCAGATGGCCAGTGGGGAAAAAGAAGTTATAAGACAAAATATGATTCATTGTCTGGAGCAGTAATTTTATACACTGAATTTTTATTTGAATAAAATAACAACTATAAACATTTTTTTAGGCAACAATTATTGGTTTTCATACTTCTAAAGTTCTTTTTGTTGGTATAAGTAATAGATATTGTGTAATATGTGAACGAAGTAATAATTTAAAACAGAAACCAAAAGAACATGAATGTTTTATGAATTGGCGAAAATCTTCAACTGGTATGTAAGCAGACGGTATTTCAGAAGGATTTTTGAGAAGTATAGAGTTAGATGGTCTCAAATTTAAACGACTAATTGGTAAATAATAATTTAACTTAAGTTGAGTATGTAGATTAAATAATATAATATATATATATATGTATAAATATAATATAATTATTAAATATTATATTGCATTCAATATTGTATAGGTGATGGCGATAGCAGCGTAACAAAACGATTGAAAGAAATTATTCCTTATGGTCCTACACGTTTGGTAGAAAAAATAGAGTGTAGAAATCACTTATTGCGTAATTTCAGTACGAAAATTTCTGCCGTCACAAAAAATACCAAGTTTCCCGTTTCACTAAGACAATTCGTTTCATAAAATATAATTAAATTTTCTACTGCTATTAGAAAAGCGATTGAATATCGTAAAAATTGTAACGCACAGGAACATGAAAAATTATCAGGTGATTTAATAAATTATAATTATATAACGAGTAAAATGAAAATAATTAATTAATATTAAATAAAATACCAAATATATTAATTTTAGGGCTTATTATTGATATTAATAATAGTTTTTATCATATACTTGGACAACATGATCAATGTGAAACGTATTTTTGCAATAATAAATCTCGTGGTGAAAATTTAGTACCAGTTGCTTTAAAATGTGGTTTAATGACAGAACTTAAAAATATTGCACGACCACTAATTGATAATGCAACAAGTTTATTACTTGATGTAACTAATAACATTTGTGAACAATTTAATAGTGTCATCAATAAATTTATTGCTGACAAACGAATAAATTTTTCACAAAAAAATGGTTACAATACTCGTGTAAGGGCTGCAATAATTTCTTTTAATTCGGGATGAAATTTTCTTAGACAAATACATAAAAAAATTACAAACAAAAGTCCAGGTATGAATAGTATATATACTAATAGATTTTAATTTATAAAAATAAATAAGTATTTATTTTATATTGTGCATTAGTTTTATGGAAAAATGAATTAAAATATATTTTATTTTATTATTGTACCCAACTAATAATAAATGTTTAAGTTATTATAAATTTATTTGATGATAGGTATAATCGGAAAAAAATTTTTGTCATTTAAAAATCAAAAAATTACGAATAATCGAAAAAGAAGACAACTTATTCCAAAGAAAAAATCAAAAAAAACTAAGAAAACTGGACCAGACGAATTTTATGGACTCGCCGAACCCTTAAAAGACGACGATGTACTAAGTAATGAAGAATTAGAAATTAAAAAGGAACAATTCATTTCACAATTAAAATTAAATATTGAGGAATATCAGAAGTTAGAAGTAAATACGAGAAATCAAAGGAATTGCCAACAATGGTTTAATGAAAGAAGAAATCGTCTTACCGCGTCCAACTTCGGAAAAGTGTGTAAAATTAGGAGAACTACATCATGCAAAAATACAGTTTATACATTATTATATGGTACACAGTTACAAAATATTAAACAATTGGAGTATGGGAAAAAGTTTGAATCTGAAGCACTAATTCAAGCTTCCAATATATTAAAAAAAAATATAGATTCTTGTGGATTTTTTGTGGATCACGAAATACCATTTCTTGGAGCTTCACCGGGTATAATTTATTGTATTATTAATATATTCAATTAATAATAATTATTAATATTATATTTTTTATAGATGGTGTAATTGAAAATAAAGCTCTTGTAGAAATTAAATGTCCTTATGCTGCTAAAAATACAAGCAATATAAAAGAAGCCATAGACAATAAACAAGTTAGTGGTATACACTCCGTTAACATTACTTCCCAGATACTTATACATACATTTTTAACTATGTTGCTGATGGTTGAAATGCCAAGTCTGTAATTAAGATGTAAATCTGTAAAAGTACACCCACTTGCTAAATACCTGAAACCAAAATAAATTATTTATAATTTGTTTAGGAAAGGAAGTTGTAAAGCGATGGGTGAATATTCGAGATGCGTTTAATAAATCTACGAAAAAAGAAAAATCACTAAATAAATCTGGTGCTGGTGCTTCAGTAATAAAAAAATATGTCTACGCAGAACAGCTGAAATTTTTATCAAAATATTTTGTCCACGGTCAACTGAAGATAGTTTATCTATCAACTCGGGTAATGAAGATACTGAACCAACTGTTTCAGAAAATGACAACAGAAACGAATGTGGGCAATTTAAAATACCACCTAGAAAGCAACTTGGATCTCGTAAAAGAAAGATGGATGAGGTTGACATGAGAATGTTAAAAGCGTTGGAAGAACCAGAAGATCGTTATATTTCATTTTTTAAAGGCATTGTTCCAACTTTGCATACATTTACAGAGGATGAAACGGTAAATTTCCAGATGGGTGTACTACAATTATTGACCAATATTAAGCAGAGACGATTTCAAACACAAAACCCATACATGGATTTCAATACTAATATTAATTATAATCGCTGTATTCCTACTCAAAAAAATATGCAAAATTATGATCTGCAACTGCCCATAAATCAATCAAGATCATCTTCTATTCGCTTCCAAACTACAGAGAATCGCCAAACACATACAGACGTTCATCACCAATATAACCATATTGACGACAATCCGTCTTCAGTTGATAGCAATACAGACGAGTCATTCTTAGATTTAGATTTTTCATAATAATTCAGATAATATATTAAAAACTGTAATTATAATACTATTTGTATAATGCATTAATATTTTTTTCTTAAACACTAATAAATCATTTTTAACATTCACAAATAAATTGTAAAAGTTTGCTACATTTTAATAGGTAAGTAAAATATTCAAAAAAAAAATAATACATTTATTATTATATTATATCATTATATTATTATTTATCTATTATGTATTATTATCTTAATCATGTATTCACTTACCTTAGAGTTACAGCTAACATTTGCATAGGTTCGATGCAGTCTCTCATAAACGTATTCTGACGTTGCAATGTATTTTTCAGTCGGTCGTGTAATTCGTCAAAAGATTTCATTTACATTCGAAAATACATAAAAAACTTATCTTCGTGTTCTCGGAGGTCCTTAAACAAGGTATAAAAGTCACCTATTTCGTTCCTATTAGAAATATATGGATGAATCCAATAGATTCTTTCTCGTATATTTCTGACACGACGACGACGGCGTCTATTAAAAAGTATTAGAGCTATTTTTTTTTTATCCATTTGGACAATCGTTTAAAACTACAACAAATAAAAAATAGAATAGAATAAACAAATAGACCTCGACAGCAAATTACAACTGACAACGGGCAGGTTGTATGAACTACTACGGTTCTACCACGGCTATTCTGTGCGGAAACTGCAAGAAAACCGTGTATGTGTGAAACGTCTACATCCGTGTAAACGGTTGCCGTGTACACCGAAACTGTCTGTGTGTGAAAAGGGCCTAACCATCTGAGTCACTGTGATGTCTTCAAATTCGGAGAACAATTTAGATTTAAGCAGATCGGCAGTGGCAGTAGGGTTTAACCAAGAGACGAACAGGTCGGAGAATTTCTGAGTTGGAGCAGCAGATAAGGCAGAGGAGGTAATTATACCAGAAGAAAAAATTAACTTAGGACGGCCAGACGCTTGTACACGAGTTGAAGCTGGAACTGCCGAGATTGTAGGTACGCGATTCACTGCTTGACAAAATGTATTACGGGGAGACATTCCATTAGAATTAGGGTCAGTAATACTATTCAATTTAACGTTAATTAACCGATTACTTTCGGAAATGTTTTTTAGCTCAAATACGACTGACTGTAATATAGTGGCAACATTGGAAGTAGTGTCCGATGATTCAGGCTCTAAAGTGTTGGTATTGAGGTGTGATAATAGACTTTCGCTTACCTTTACCCCCGGGGGTAGTGTTTTATTTAGAATAAAATCAATAAGCATGGGCTTGGTCCATTTTCCGAGCTCTAATACCAATGTTTCAGAAGTAGCTGGAAGCATAATGCACGTAGTATTGCTAATAATAGGCGGTAAAACAAGCAAACGCCGTAACGATGTGGGTAGGCAAATTATTATGCACCCGGTACAGATAGCTTTAACCAGAATAGACGATCCGTCGACCTTGACACGTGCCGTAATATGAACCGAGATAACTGGCAGACACACACCAGCACGAAAACTCAAAGTTCAAACCGTAATTGGTAGATAAGATTAAAATAACTGGGACTCTACCTTAAGTATCGTAGGAAAACTGCCCAAAAGGGAAGGGATTGAGGGCAGACAGCATCAACAACAACACAAGACTATAAGCGCACTTTTAATGTTATACTTGAATAAAAATCCCAAAAACGGATAACAATTACACAAGGAAATAATTAAATAATACGGAGCGATATTGATCACGACGTACGACGTTCGGCATTAGCATATATCACGCCGCATATGTATAAATATAATATGTATATCGTCGTAACAATTTCGTTCATTTCGTGATCAATCGTTGAGTTACTTTCATTGTATGTGTTATTATAATTTATTATTAAATTCTATTATAATATTATTTTATATATAAATGTCTTCGTAAACACAAAACATAATATAATAGTAATAGTAAATTGTAATATTTTATAAGTTGCCTTACTCACATCACATATTTTATCGCTTATGAAATATAATATAAGGTAGTGCATAATATTATTATTTAAGGATATTTCATTATAGAAATAGTTTTATATTATGTAAAATAGTCGTAATTAATATAAAATATGTACAATAATTGTAGCGTAAAAAAAATATTTATATAATTTATGTGTAGTAATATAGATGAGTAGTATGAAAAGGAGAGTTCTGGTGCCTTACCCCCTGACCCCCTGATCCTTGCTGACCATTGCTCACCCCATGATCCCCTGATCCCCTGAACCTCCATCTCTGCCGCCCGATTGCGCACGTACGCGACGTATATTTTAACCCACCCTCACATACCACATACCCCCACATACCCCACCAGGCCTGAATCGTCTTCTTTATCCCCCTGATTCTCGTCATCGTATCTTCCTCGACCCCGTAGCTGTATGAATATTATTGTACACACCTCGATGTAATAACTGTACCCTAACTATTCTTCAACAAGGGTTGAGACTATACATGTACACCCCTTTGTATATTTTATACAGGCAACGACGTGTGTGTTCCGACATACCCTATCTATTGTTAACAATAACATTCTTCAACAAGGGTCGAGACTGAACATGTTCACCCCTTTGTATATTTTTAACCTTAAATTTCTGTCGCCATAACGTTCTATAGCGAAACATGTGTTAGATATACCCTATCTATTGTTAACATTCTTCAACAAGGCTATACATGTATACCCCATTGTATATTTTAAACCTTGACCACCTACACCTTTTACGGCAGGTGTTGTTATTCTGTTGTCATTGAGGAATTTACTCCTACCTAATAATGTTTCCCCCTAATAATGTTTCCCCCACCGAATAATGACTCAAATCATCAGACGCTTGACCCTACAAGAACGGACATTTATTCAGTGTGTTCGGAGTCTTATGCTATACTACACGTACATTTTTATTTCTTGTGAGTGTTTTTATTTTTTCAAGTCTTAATACATTTTTAGTGTTTATTTATATTTTTTGTAAGTTCTAAAAATCATTAATATCATATCTGGTTCAATCGCTGACAACGCTGAGATATATAAAAAGAAGATGTACACGTACGTTCCTCCTTCATCTCCGGCTGGGTTAATAGATTCTACATCCTACACATTGGACTTTACCACTCGCAAATTCGATCCGACTGATGATTTCCAAACAGTTATCCATATTTTGACTTCTTCACGTCACGTGAAATTGACAACAGATTTTCTAAAACGAATATTCTCGCTTATGGGTAACGTACTATCATTTATACAAGGGATACCGAAATCATATAAACGAAACATATTTCTCGAGACAGAGTTTTTTAAATTGTCAAGTATGGTGTAGGAGCAAATGTTTTAGTAATAGAATCTAAAACCGTGGACGGGTGTAGAGTTCTTTAATTCAGCTTCAGAACTTTGAATGGAGTATTTCCGCAAGTATAGGGGAAAAAGATATTTTCATCAAACCCGAAATTATGAAACAAATGAATGAATATTCTGAGTATTTGATCGGGAAACTTCTTCAAGTGGATTCACCGCCTAAAAATGTACATGAAATGCAAAATTTACATTAACAACCAAGAAGTCAAGCAAACCAGTGAAAACCGATTCATCAGTCAAATCAAAATGTTTGCACCTACACAATTATGTTACATGCGGAGAATAAGTTTTTATAATATAGTAGGTCTTCTGGTTCCGGAATAATGTCGATAAAATCTATTAGATCCTGACAGTTAATTTTTTCCAAATCTTCCATTCTGTTTTCTGTCATATCTAGCAGAAACGTTTTTATGTTTGGTAATCTCATTTAGTTCCACTTCGGTGTATGGTATGGTTAATTCATTATTGGCTCAAGTTATGTGCTCTATAAAACAGTTTGAAAATTGTCCTATGCCTAAATTTGTTGTATTGTGGTTTCCGCTTGTTATTTCTTTCTCCAATTTCAAAATGAATGTTCTATTTCTATTCCTAAAATTAATATAATTATTCTAACTTAATATTGCTATATACTTATTATTTTTTTTATTATTGCTATTTTTTTTTTTTAATTGACCTGTGCGTCATTATAATATTTTTTTACGTTATTTCTATGTACAGTAATGACCTTGCGGCCACGCTGTATAGCTACATTCTCGTTCCCTATTACTGCTATGACCTCGTACGGTCCTAACCAGATTGGGTCGAGTTTCGTTCTATGATTATTATC